TACAGGTAGGGTTGCCACCTTTTCCTCCATCGAAACCTGAACACTCTAGTGACGCACAAATGAGTTGTGGCTTATTCATATGTAATTAGCACCACCCATTCATATGTAAATATCACAGTTGAGACATTTTCAGTGGGGGGCCAGTAGCCCCTGTCTTAATTTTGGTTGCCCCTGTCTGCCTGACATCTTGTTTCCGGGTCTTAGCTGTCATGAAACCCAGACACAGCATTTAAAACCCGGACTGTCCGGACAGGTGATACCCTAGTCTCAGGGCCAGGGGGGTGTATCTGTGTCACAGGGCCTGGGGAGAGAGGCAATTAAAAGGTAAACATTTAAAAAAAATATTTGTGAGGTCTATTTTTAATGTCTTGTATCTGGATAGATTGGGGGAATTAAACAGCTATCTGTGGCTCAGTTAGAGAGATTTACCCTTACTTCCTGTTCTTCTGACTGTTTTCCCAGACAGGAAGAGAGAAAAACGATTATTGGGGAGGGCAATGGGGTCACCTGCCCGGGGTGAATAAAGAACCTTTAAAAATATTGTCTGTACTGTGGAGATAGACCACTGCCAGAGGTCACCAGAACACCAAGGTCCACTTTATCGTTTCACATCCAATGGCAGCATATCGGAACCATATGCTGTCAGTTAACCAACAAAGACTAGTAACCAATCATTGCATTGTTTCTGCCTGATGAAGGGACCTCATATGGTTCCGAAATGTGGCTATTGCTTGTGACACTATGTATACCTGAACGTCAATAAAAGACAGATCGATAAAGTGGACCTCGGTGTGCTGGTGACCTTATTACTTCTTCTACTGCAACAGGGACACAAGCAAGACCTCTGGTGGGCCTACGTTCAAGATATAACGGTGATGGCATGTCACCTATAGGACTTGGGGCTCCTAAAAATGGAGAAGGTACAGGAATAAGTTTGGGGTACCGTGGTCCTGGTGTATCAAACTTCTGCTCTTGTTTAACCATTTCTCTAAATTTCAGCCTTTTGCTAATGACCTTACATGTCAATACACCTTGCATGGTATTCCTTAACGTTCTCATCCCCTGGTGTGGGGGGGGGGACCTTTTAAGGTACGTTTATCTCATTTTAGACATGAAACATACTGTAAATGAAATCAATATTATTATTGACCGATCTTATTAAAAATACTCTAAAAACATATAGAAAGGCGGGTACACACCACCACAATGGCCCTACCATCAATCAATGCATACATCAAAAGACAAAATAAAGTAAAAGGAGAACTATGGGGTCAGGGCTTTTCCCCATAGTTCTCCTTAGGGTAACGGAAGGACACAAACTAGCGTCCTCCCGTCACCCTAAGCTCAGTATACCGCGAGCTACAGCTCGCGGTATACTGAGACGCCGCAGCCGGAGCAGATCCCGACATCGATGTGGAGATCCGCCCAGCTGCGTGAGTGACAGCTGGCTCTGCCTATCTAGAGGCAGAGCCAGCTGTACCCGCCCCCTCTCCCGTCCGTTCCGCCAGTCAGCGTTGGCAGATCGGAGCGGGGAGGGGGGAATCCAGCCCCTCCCCTGTCACGGCAGAGAGCCGTGACAGGATCAAGAAGTGAGCGAACGCCGGTATGTGTTCGCTCCCCTCCCGATCTACTGAGCCGACCTGTGACAGTCTCATTGTCACAGGTCGGCTAGAACTATGAGGTGAGTGAATAGCACTCACCTCATAGTTCTCCTTTAAGAAGTTTAGAACATTTACAGATGTTGATCGCTCAGTGGTAGGGAAATAACAGTACCCTCATCGCGTCCCATGAATAACGTTCACTTCTTCAGGAGATTGTGGATCCCAAATGGGTCTAAAAATGACCAGAAGGGGAAACCAACAGGAGATACCAAGGCTCCCCCTTAGATCTATTTAGGGTTGAGGTGCCACATAATCCCATCCAAAAACAAATTTGCCTTCCTGAGGTCAGTACGGGAACATCTACTACAAATAAATGCCAATGGTTGGATCGCTAGTTGTAAAGTACGGGTAGTGTTGAAAAAAAATGATGTTGCATATCCTCCTGAATGTATGAGATCAGTTTATGAAGGATTTCCCATCATCACAACAAGGTCTGACCATGTATATGTAAGCATGCCTTGTTCTACAAACAGGATTCACCAGTGGAAGTGATCCATATGTTTGATGTTGATGAACTACTCCATTTGATTTCCTATGATCCACAATCTTCTGAAGAAGTGAACGTTGTTAATGAAACATGTTGAGAGTACTGTTACTGCCCTATCATTGAGTGATACAACTGTATATGGTATAGATTTTGTGTGCCATATACAGTATGTGTGTGATTTATGAATTGATCAATTGTAGGGTCATTGTGGAGATCTTGTAAAACTTTGTTCCAGCCTTTCTTATAGTATTTTATATAATAGTCAATAAACACATTGATTTTATTTACAGTGTGTACTGTGTATAGAATGAGATATTTGTTTTGCTGGTGACCTTTGGCTTTGTCACAGTTTGGGAACCGTAGACACCGGGGAATGTTGGCTCTGGGGTTTATGGAACGGGTCAGGGTAGACTGAGAAGGAATATTGCCTGGAATGCTGGTCACAGGGAACCCAGGCACTGAAGTGACTGCACGTTACTGGGATGGTGCTACAGGAACAGGGTCTAAGGAGTGCCAGGTCTTCTCCAGAGCTCCTGAAGGTGGAGATGTTGCGCTGTAGGACAACCCCCAGGTTGCGGCCCCCTAGCACACCTGTGCAGGCACTGATGACAGGATACTGCAGCGGAGACAAGTGGAACAGTTGCAGCACTGAGACTCAGGATAGAAAGACTGGCATGGGTGAAGTCTGTTTAAACACTGCTGAGCAGGAGTAAAGGATACCGAGGTAATCAGAAGAGGGAGTCCGTACATAAAGGTGATAGGACCAGGGGTAGCCAAACCTCGGTCCTCCATTTGTAGTGTAACTACAAGTTTCATGAGACATAGCAAGACTGACAGCTACAGGCATGGCTCTCAGAGGCAGAGACATCATAGGATTAGTAGTTTTAACACAGCTGAAGGGCCACCCCTGCTCCAGATAAACTGACATGCCTGCCCAGAATCTCCCAACAGCCCTGCTTGTGTTGAGTGGAGCTTCATCGTTACAGAATCTGGCACATAACTAGGAGATCCGGGAGAGCCGGCAAGGACGGATGCAGTGATATGCTGGACAACATCCAATATCAGTAATTCGTCAACTTGCAACATGTTTTCCCTGTACAGTAAGATTTCTTCTACAGTGTGCAGTTCTACGCAAACGGCTCAGGTCAGAAATATGTTGCTTTATGACTTCATTAATTGCTGCATTTTAGTCTGCTGCCTGGGGTACCTTAGATGGAAACTAAGGCCTTCAAAAGTATTTTTTAATCATACTATGTATAGTTGATTATCTTACTATGCGGGTTAATGTTTTATAGACTTTGTTTTTATGTGAAGTTTGTAATTATACATTGTATGTACATTGGGCCAACCATACTTGGTCTTGATCTTTTCATTGGTACATGGTCTTGCATTGGGCCAACCATACTTTCTTGGTCTTTTCTTTGAAACATGGTCTTTGATTGGGCCAACCATACTTGGCCTTGGTCTATTTATTGGTACATGGTCTTTGATTGGGCCAACCATACTTGGCCTTGGTCTTTTTAGTGGTACATGGTATTTCATTGGGCCAACCATACTTGGTTTTGGTCTTTTCATGGTACATGGTCTTTCATTGGGCCAACCATACTTGGTCTTGGTCTTTTAATTGGTACATGATTTTTTTATTGGGCCAACCATACTTGTTCTTGGTCTTTTCATTGGTACATGGTCCTTCGGTAATGTCAGGGGCTGCATCTGAGACCCACTATAACAAGTGAGTTGACCACAACTGCTGTAGATGGTTGATCTAGCGAGTATCCAATTGCCTCTGGTGTGCTGGTTGCTTATTCTTCTATACACATGTGCTGAAGAGGAACAGGCTGACAGAGGAAAACCCAAAGAGCAGAGCAATGATTTATTAGTATTCTGCTGCTTCTTTACTATCCAACCAACAGGCTGTGGGTTGTGTTCTGGACCATGCTATGCTGCTGCAATGGTGGTCCAGGTCCTGTCTGCGCTGTCTGGCAGGGATACTTTGATTACAAGACTAGCTGAATAGAATTTAAATAAACTTCTTTGGTAGATAACGGTCCTCATACATATATTTCAGCTGTTTAGCTGCTTTACTGGAAATCAGTTTCAATGCCGCTGCTACGGGTGAAATATCTCCAAGAGCATTAAATGGCTACACTTTTAATAAATCTGCAGATTAACTGTGATTGCAGGTCCATTGGCTTTGTAATGACAAAATATTAATATATCTGCCGCTACCTTCTAAGACTCCCTTTATTACTTTCTCAGTTGATATATTATCAGGGACTGTTGAAGTAATTCTCCGTGTTTATCTTTCTATCTGCCTTGACTGCTGTGACTTAGCAACTCGATCCTGCCAATGACATCATTGTCGCAATCGCTCAGGATATTAAAAACTTTCCTGACTGCTTCATGAATCACAATAGATGGGATGGAAAAAAATAAAATAAAACTCCTCGGGGGAAATATTGATTGATATCCTTATTTCACTTCTTTATTTTTTTGCTAAAATTCAGTAGTGAGGTTGAAGGAGGCGGCTTTTAATGAAACATAATAAGAACCTTTTCAGCGTGATTACTTTAATGAACAGATCTTGGAAGTGACCTCGGCTGAAAACGCATGACGTGTACCCTTACCATTGTGTGCCCTTAAAGTCCATGTTTTATGTATTTCCAAAATTTAACCCCAAACTCCCTTCTCCCAGCATGCTTTTTTTCCCCCTCTACCTTGTTCCTGAAGCTTTTATTACTTTTTGTGACATCAAAACCAGCCTTGTAAAGCTACCGAGAGCTCAGTTCCTATTGACATAGGCACATCCCCAGAACTACATCTCCCAATAGGCGCAGGCCCATCCTTACCCTATATGCTGCCTGAGGCAGCAGAGTGGGGGGGAGTAGTTGTATGGCAGGGGGTGCTATTGATAGTGCTGGGGGGTGGCGGATGCTGCTGATAGTGCTGGTCTTGCTTTGCGGAGGATGTGGTGGGATGGGCTGCTGTGTTAGATGAACAGAGAGTTGTTTAGTCAGCTCACTGATGTCACTGGTTACCAGGAGCTTGGCGGGACGCCAGACAGTGTATCCCACTCAGCTCCCTGGCAACCGATGACATCGGTGAGCAGGATGGACGGGGCGTCACAGGTTGCTAAGAGCTCTTAAAATCCCGAGATGCTGTGGTAACCCCTCTGCTGCCCCCCTCACACTTGCTGCCCCCCTAATGAGATGCCACCTAAGGAAAACTGCCTCAGGCTGCATCATTATAGGGACGATCCTGAATAGTCCATTCCCTAAACAATCAAGCAAAACAGATGACAAACGCACTCATCAATTCGTCACCAGCTTTACAGTAAGGTGCACACGGAATGGGCTTTAAACAGTAAAATAGCAAAAAGTTTTCCTGGCACTCTCACAAGCTAGCATGTAAAAAAACTTGTCTCACACTAAGGTTAAAAACAGAGGTTTGGATACGCGTGTATCCAAACCTCTGTTTTTAACCTTAGTGTGAGACAAGTTTTTTTACATGCTAGCTTGTGAGTGTGCCAGGAAAACCTTTTGTCATTCCCTAAACAAAGTGCGTGGGGAAGATCTTGTGAGTCATGGAAGCAGCAGTGTTTTTGCTAGGACAAAGCTGGCATGGGAAAGAGAGGGGCTGGAGATAGGCAGAACCGGATTTCCCACAAGGCCAACCAAGGCCGGCCTTGGGGCAGCAGGGAGTACGGGAACAGCAGGGATGTGGAATTCCTATCTCCTGATGCCCAGGACATGCAGTTCCGGGCATTGGGCGGGTAGTTGTTTTCTACATTTAGCCCTGCTTTGGGCAAGCAGAGCTAAATGTACAGCGTCGCCAAAATCACTTGTATGCAGTCTGCAGGTCTGCCATTCTCCATGGGTGGGGGGGGGGGTTAGTAGTCCCTGCTTTGGGCAAGAAGAGATAAATGTACAGCGGGGAAGCCACCGCTTGTTTTGTACGCATGTATGCAGCCTGCGGGTCTGCTATTCTCCATGGGGGGTGTTGGCAGGTAGGGGAGTGCATTGAGGAACCTGGCCTTAGGGCAGCAGAGTAAATCCGGCCCTGGGGATAGGTGGAGCTCTGTTGTTCAGCAGGCACGGTTGACAGCGCTGACTGCTATTTCAGTGCATCAAGGGCACTGGGTTGTCAGATCAGGTTTGATGCACACTGGATCAGTGGGTACACATGCACTTTAAAGGAAATACGTATGCTGCTACTGATGATATCTCTATTTTACAATGCCGATTTCAGTTTATATTTTTTAAAGTATTTTTTGTATGTTTTTTTTTTTAGGGCACAAAAAAAATGGACCTCAACAAATACTTTTCCAGAGTGGGCTATAAGGGTTGCTGTAAACTGACAGACGTGCAAACACTTTCTGAGATAATGTATCACCACATCTTGGCAATACCATTTGAAAACCTCAGCGTGCATTGCAGGGAACCCATCTCCCTCAACATAGAAAGCATTTTCCAAAAACTTGTACTGAAGCAAAGAGGTGGTTGGTGCTCCGAACAAAACCACCTCCTCTTCTGGGTTCTCAAGACCATTGGCTACGACGTGGTCATGCTTGCAGCTCATGTTCACCAGCCCCATCTGGATGAATACAACCCATTTGCTACTCATCTCCTACTCAAGGTGACAATAGATAGCAAGGTGTACATTGCTGACGTTGGCTTTGGAGCCTCCTCTCAAATATGGCAGCCTTTAGAGTTATCGAGCGGGATGGACCAGCTGCAAGTTCCTGGCATATTTCGCCTCACGGAAAGTAATGGAACGTGGTTCTTGGACAAGATAAGAAGAACGCAAATGGTTTCCGATGGCTCATGTTCTGACTCTGAACTGCTTGATAAATCGAGTTATAAGAAGATCCACTGTTTTACTCTACAGGAGAAGACTATAGACTACTTTCTCGAGTCCTGCAGGTTCCACCAAACATCTCCTAAATCGGCCTTTGCCAACAAGTCTGTTTGTTCCCTCCAAGTTAGCGATGGCGTTCGAACGCTAGTTGGCTGGACGTACACGGAAACCAAATACAACTATCGGAAAGGTGTTGATCTGGTGGAACTTAAAACTCTACAACATGATGAAGTAGAAACAGTTTTAAAAGAAAATTTTGGCGTTGTTTTAGAATCTCAGTTTGTTGTAGCCAACAACCCTGGTAGATACACAATTTAAAGGCTAAAGGTACTTCCAGACAAGTAAACAGCAGCCCATCCAATCGATTCTCCCTGTTAGAAGGCTCCGCCTTGGGATGTCTGGCAAGGTCAGGAAATGCATACAGATGTGGGATTGTTTCCTGATCTAACCATAGCAAGCTGGTAGACCGAGCACATGTCTTCAGACACCCTTAGGCTACTGACAGGCAAATGTCTTATTAAGAATAATTGGCAGGGAGACATATGCCAATCTTAAAACATTCATAGAACTATGACGCTCTACATTTCAAATTTAGTGATCAGCAATGGAAAATGCTTACTTCACTTTTCTGATTGAGATGTATCCAACAAGATCAGTTCTTCTGGTGCTGAGGGAGGTTTATTACTGTGTTCCACGGGGAAGCTATCACGTACCTGGCTGGAGACTGGTTGGATGAGGAGGCTCCCCTTGCACCTCGTGTCCCCCAAACTCTGAGGATGGGAACAGAGCCTGAGAAACAGCAAGTAGCACGGTTGCCAGTGGATGGGGCAACACCATGCAGGGCAGAAGTCCATAATCTGTATCGGGTACAGCAGAGCCAAGGTCACACCAGGCAGACAGCAAGGTACTAGAGCAGTTGGCAGAATCGAGGTCAGGCAAGCCAGGGGTCACGCCAGTCGGGCAGCAAAGTACAAGGGATGAGGCAGAGGCAAGGTCCAGTAACAATTTCAAGGTCAGAAGGCAGGCAGCAATCAGGAGCAGTCAGGTTCCAACCGGGTCAAGATGCCGGAGCAGTAAACAGGCAGAGCAAACAGGATCACAGGTAACAGCTGAAAGACCATCCAGCAACTAAGCTCAGGCTGTGCTTGCTTTAAATAGGGAGATAAATTCAGAGGTACTGCATCACTTCCTGTGTGCCACATTAGCCCGGCTGTGCGCGTACGTCCCGATGCGCGCAAGTGCCCGTTTTCCTATGGTGTGAAAAACGGGACCGCGCACATGCGCAGTAGACCTGGTTACCTTACAGAAGCCCTACATAGCCAGATGCCTACTTGTACACTCTAACACTACTGTGTCCTCTAGTAGGGGTTGGCAGGAGGAATTACTGAGCATAGGAGGACCAGGATATTGAAACTCCTGGAAGTGCTGGTTTCTGAAGAGACTTCAGGCCATGACTTTGCTTCATTAGAAGGGTGTTCACTGGCATGGATATTGGTTGAGGTAAGTACTGAAAGGGTGATTAATATCATTGGCCTGTTTCTGGGTTATACATAGGCAATGTCTGAGCAAGCAAAACTGTGTTTTTCAGTATATTCCCAGTTTGAGATATTTCTAAAATGTTAGTCTTTGCAAATTGTATCTCTTGTCTCTGTTTGTGTCTTTTGGTTGTTTACTTTACAAATCCCCCCTCCCCCAAGGTTGTCTCATGATTCTTACGATCATGACTAGTTTTGTATATGTGCATGATTTTAATTGGTTTTTGCTCCGCCGTCCCCCTTTTAGTTTCACATATAACCTTTTGTTTTGACAATAAACTCTTTATTATTGTGACTCTTTATTCCCAAGTACTTGTTTGAAGCTGGCAGCACGATCGAATCCCGGGAAAACTTAACAAGCTAAGTCCTACCAGGAGGCGTGGGTTCGACGCCCACTACTGTGGGTTCAAGTCCCTTTGAAGTCACTTTTCTGAGGGGCCCTAACAACTACTTACTTTCTACTTTGCAGGGAATTCTTCTATTGGCAATTCTATTCAACTGACAGAGTCCCTTTAAAGCCCAACTCTGAACTCAGCCCCCCCACCAGCAGATCACTCTCCCCTATTTTCCCGCAGTATGTTATGCTGTTTTTATATTAATTTACTTACATTTTTCCGAAGTCCTCAGGTCGGTCATGTGACATGTCGAGTCCTCTTCGTCTTTAGTCTGCTCCTGGCAGTGGATGGTCCTCCAATTGCAGAAATCAGTGCTGACGTGATGACGTACCTGCTGCTTTCTGAATAAAGATAAAATGAAGGAAGGGCACTAGCCGCACCCACAAAGATTCGTCTGGTTCTGATAGGTTCCTCTATCCGTAGTAGGCTATTGTATTCAGCAGCCTCAGGACCCACCTGAACAGTAATTGCATCTAACTGGCTGCAGTCACTGTTTGGCCAACGATTTGCCACCCAACTCCTTTGACAAAAGTCGATTGAAAATTCAACGTTTGCCAAGTTGGGTAGTACTGTCAGGGCCACCCAGAGCTTGAATTTCAGAAGATTCAGCAGAAATCAGCGGAAATTCAAGCAGTGTATGGCCAGATTAGAGTAGAATTAAATCTTCATTTTTTTGTATATATCTACTGCTACTAAAAAATAAAAAAAAGTTACCAAAAAGGTTATTACTTAACTGTGTCTTCACCACTTGCTCCTTTCAGAAGATCTAGAGATTTCTGAGCTACCATGAAGGATCGTGGGGCGGGCGCATGTGCAGTAGTGATCTTCGGCCGGGAGAAGAGAAGAGACACAGGGTAACTCAATGCAGGCAGCGTGCACGCCGGACAGGCACCGTGGGACACAGAAGACACAGCAGTCAGCGCTGGATCAGAGACCGACATCGGCGCCTGAGGGACTCCTGAAAACTCCTGTAAAAAAGAAGATGATCGGATCAAGAGGCATTATTTAAGGTAAGTCCTTACACCAGCAGGAAGGGGAATTTGACTTTATTGTCACTTTAGGGAAGCGAGGTCATGACACTCTCTATTCAAATGACTTCCTTAGTCTTCTAGTTTGAGTGACACCGGGTTGATTCAACCCTGAAGACTGAGGACATCTTGTGGTCAAAAAGAAGTACTGCGGGGGCAGCTCTTGCGTTAAAGGTAAGCATTGAGTGTTGAGTTTTAGCTGCTTTTTTTATTGGTAAAACCTTCCCAGGGGACATTGGAACTAAATAAAACCCAAAATTGGGGTTTAAAAGAGAGCCAGGCAAAACTGGGCTCATGCAAGAATGTAATTAGTCGACTTTAAATAAAGATAACGACGTAGACTCACTTAAGGAAGGTTTAGTAATCTGAACATTCGTTCTTAAATGATTATGATTTTTGCAGCGTACAGAGGAAAGGTTTATATTTATAACCCTATAAAAGCATTTCAGATTGTTTCGTGTTTATGTTGTGTCAACATTTCAGATGCAAACAACGCTTGAAAAATGAACCATTAGTGCCAATTAAAGTGATCGCGTACAGCACTCTACTGGTTCTTTAATCGGAAAAGATGTTTGTTTTTTTTACTTTAAGAAGCTGGAATAAAACTTTGTTAAAAGCTAAGTTCATCTCATAGACTATGTTTTGTTACACTTATATTCAGAGAGTAACGTGAAACATGGTCACATCCGCAACCCCCCATTTACCTAAACTGGCGCTGACATGCCTGGCTCCACCCACACACCTGCGTCATTCAAAGATTCTTTGATAGGATTGGTGAATGGAGAATCAGCCACTGCGGCAGAGGGATTTGTAGCTCTCAATGCAATAGAAGTGCGGGGATGTCCCGCTTCCTACCGTCCATGTTGCTGAATGTCCATACTAAGCAACGGACATGGAGTAACATGGAAAAGAGTCTGCAGGAGACAGAGCATTGCGCCAGCACTGCTTTACTGACTCCAATGCTAAATAAATGAATAAATACACAAATACATAAAATAAATATTTACATAAATAAATGAAATAAAATAAATGAATACATTTAGAAAAGAAGTGCGCATTTATTATGTTTACTCAAAAAGTGAACTTTCCCTTTAAAGGAATTTTAAAAACTTAGCAGCCTTGCAGTGGGACTACTGCACTGCAAGGGTTAAGTGCTTGTTTTGTCTGGGGGGCATGGCTAACTAAAGCAGATTTACTCACCTGAACCTCAATCCTGCAGTGGTTGGCACTCATCTCTCCCTCCGCTCAGGTTGGGGAATGTCCCGTGGAGTCTTCATGTCTGATGCAAGTCATTGGACCCGCATTAGACCACCGGAGCCCAGGGGACAAGAAGCTGCGATGACTGGGGATCAGGAAAGTAATACAGCTTCTTTTAACCCCCTAGACAAAATGAGCACTTAACCCTTGAAGTGCGGGGGTAACCCCACTGCAAGGGTACGTTTTTTAAATTCCCGGAGTTCTTTTCTAAAAGCTGAACTCTGGAGAAGTTCCAAAAACTACCCCTGTCTGCTTTTTTTTGTCTGGGGTGCCATTAAAAAGCAGTTCCCTGGGGTGGCTGTGCTCTCCTCTTCCCTCTGTCGCTCCGACTTGTGGCTGGGCCATTGGAGTCCTCACTTACAATGAAGGACTGCTGGTCCTGCATTGTAGGTGATGATGCCAGAGTGCCTGCAACTAATGGACTGCAGAAGGGAAGTGACTTTGGGGGGACCAATCATATGGAGGGAAGGGAACCTGCGGGACCGAGGGGTAAGGTAAACAAAACTGCTTTTTTAATGGCACCTTAGACCAAAAAAAAAATTAGCATTTAAAGGAGAACTCTGGGCATAAATATTCTTAACCCTTGCAGTGGTGCTAACCCCGCACAGCAAGTGTAAGAGCTTGTTTTCATCTAGTGATGCAAAAAGAAGTTATACTCACTTGCAGCCTCTTCTCCCGCTCCGGTGGTCTAAGATCTTCTGAGTCTTCACGTCTTATACAGTGTATAGGAGATAAGGACGTCAAGGAACATTGTTGGAGTGGAGGAGGAGCAAGGTTGAAGGGACCGGTCTATCAGCCAGCTTGCTGTGAGGTCCAGACGAGTATAACTTTGTTATGTTTGTCCCTAGATGAAAACGAGCACTTAACCCTTTCAGTGCAGGGGTTAGCCCCACTGCAAGGGTTAAGAATATTTCTGCCCAGAGCTCTTCTTTAACTCTTGCAGCGCAGGATGCGACCTCCTGCATTGTACATACACTCCAAAGAGAAAATTCAAGTTCAGCTTTAAGAAAGCAAAGCCGTAACTTTATGGCGGATCAATAAAAGTTTTTAGAAGTGCATCTCTAATCTCGGTATGTTCTCGGGTCACTGGGACGCTTTATAACTGCAGAAAC